TTTTTTTCTTTGTCCCACGTTCGAGACTAAAAGTGTTAACAAAAGTTACTTTAAATGCGATAGTACTTGAGGCACATATTACGTGTTTTATTTCCTTTAACGCAATGTATCTTTTACCACCAAGTGAAACAATGTATTTTCTCATTGTGAACATCGATCATAGACAATATAAGACTTCCCACATTCCTCAAATGTTCTTGATATAAGCTCCTGGTAAGAATCAAGCTCATCGAAATCTGAACAAAGAACTTACGGGAACGATGGAAAATATCTTGAGGCGCTGCCTTCTGGATTTGTCACATTTTCAAACGTGGAATACGATAACAATAAAAAGAGGAAAAAAACACTATGTGAAATTGGAATAGTCTTGATGAGCAAAACTGGCGTTTAAGGTTCTTCGAGAATGAAGGGCTCTCCGTGGTTTGCTTATGCTTGGAAAATTTTAATTCCATCCTTATTTATTGATGTTTTAATTTAAACAACTGTCCATAGCCCATGCCACCACAATTGAAGGCTGCCAGACTAAACTGCGGCGAGATTAGAACTTTATCGGTAAAATATTTGATAGTTGCTTGCCACTTTTCACTTCCCCTCCTTCCCCTCGTTGTAGCAAAGCGTGTCAACACGGAACACCAAGAGGACGTGCTTTCATTTTCTTTTGACATAGGAACTCTTGCTTCAATTAATGGGACTTTTTTTCACCCCTTTATTTTCTCCAAGTTTAAATTTCTTTCAACTAATTAATTTTAAAACTCACAGCTTATTATCGAGTTCACACTATCAACTCAATATTTTACCGGGGGAAAAAAAATGAACAGCCGTCTCAAAAGAAGCAAACTATACTCGTGTCAGTACCTTAAACTTTTTTCATTCTTTAATATTTTCTTACAATTGCGCGTTCATACAAATCCATTACATCTTAAGATAATGTATTACACTTGCTTTTCTGCTAAAACATGATGCAAAAGTGTACATGGCCGAGATATTGTTAACTACGTTGAGAAAGTGCGTTCATGAATATCAGCGTCTCAAATAAATTTCGTGATCGAGCACTTTATCTGTTGATAAAGAGGGCTCTTAAAGCTCGAAATCAATATAGATCAATTACTTGTACCACTATCGAAGGTTATGAAATGCACCGTGTATCACGACGTACGAGTCTCCGACGTGGGCTCATCAAAATACGACACAGGAAAAAAGGGCATCGACGCTTAATTATCGTTAACATTTATTGATATCCCGATTTTAGAAAAAGAAAGCTGACAGAATAAATTGCAACAAGAAACGAACTTGATTGGAGAAATCTTGGTTGGTCTTGCATACATTTTTCTTTCCCTCTTCCCTCGTTTCTTTGCAGAATAGCGTGTCTTCATTTTCTCTTAGAGGTCGAAAGTCGGAATACATAATCAGAGTTACTAAGTATCCTAATTTTACCGGCGCCAAAAATAGACCTGTTTCCTCTCACCCTTGACGTAATAATAGTAGAGGAAATATTTTTTCACACCATATGCTTAAGGCTACCAGGAAGTGGAAAGACTGACGGACTGAACGCCAAAAACATTCGTGCCTGGGCTGGGAGAATAAATTTATTTTTCAGAATGTCGTCCTCTTCTTTCATTGGTTTGATTTAGAGATAACTGAACGCAGAAATCTGCCTAGGCACGACGCAAATGTGGACGTGACATTATTTACCACTGTAAAATAGTGCACTCATATCTGGCGACTTCCCCGACTTCCTCTATTTCGTCAGACATTGAAAATTTTGGTCAGTGGCTTCTCCTGTGAATTTATTTTGAACCTGCAATTTGATTTCGGTAACCAAGACAAGAAATACTAGACCACCGAACAGTTTTTGAAGTATAATAATGATCACAAAGTTATATTTAAAAAATGCGAAACTTAGTGCTTTATTGACATTCAAATCAAGGCCCCTTTGATGTACTCTCGGACGGTTCGTGAACAATAAAATTTAACTTCTTAAAATTACTCCATCGTGAACATTATTGCTTGGATAGTTTTATGTAGCTGAAGTTCCCGTCAGTCTTTAAAACTGGGCCACCCTTGATAGTCTTTGCTATTCTGTTAAAAGCAAAAGGAAAATAATAAAAAAGATCGATATGGAAAATAAAAAAGAACGAGTAACCGTCTAGATATTATTTCGCGAAGCATTGACAAATGATCTGATACATTTGTTTTGCATTGTTATTCCCAAGAACTCTGGGTAACCAATGTTGTTTATGTTCATAAATCCGCACAAAAAATAACCAAGGAAAGTTTTCTCACGTTATTAGAGTTCTTAAAAGTAGTCATCTCGACCAATTACTGTGCGGAAGTAGCAGCGGATATTATTTTTACGTAGTTATACCTGCTTTCTGGTTAAAAACTGATTGAGATGCTTAAACTTCACTTCTGACCACGCGAGATCTGGGTACGAAGATAGAGCGAGCTTTAAAAGTGTCAACGTGCAAACCAAACATACAATAGCGTGATGGCTATTTGAAAAGGTGTTTTAAGGCAGTTTAACTCGATGCAGTTCTTAGGTGTTGGAATCTAGAGTTTCCAGCGACTGCACCCGTAATATTCATAGGCCTTCTATGCCGGAAAAAGATGTCACCAAAAATAAACCACCGTGGGAGAGATTGCCAAAAGGCGACAGATTCGAAAGTCTAAGGATGCTCAGATACCGATTTTGACGAAGTTCTATTCAATTACGTAAAATAATATTCGAGTAAGCTTTATCGCGTTTGCAAATAGCGAGGAAACTGCCTTTGCAACCCCCTTTTTTTTCGGCTTTTAAATAAAAAATTAAGAAAATTAAGTTAATTATTATAAAAAAAACTATCATTGCCAATCTACATAAAAATAGATGAATGTACATACATATTTCGTTTACAAGTTCGAGCTCAAATTCAACAACTTCTCTCACGCCCCTGAGCTGCCACGGTTTAAGCTCGCTCCAGTCCCCACAACCAACCTCCGACTCATACCCGCGGAGACTCTGCGAAAGAAAGATCAACCAATATCGCGACGACATTCTTTCAAATTTGTGAAACGCGGTTTTTTGACCCGGAATCTATATATGTCTAAACAAATTTACAATAAGAATTCCTCTCTTTTTCTTAAAGGTAATTGTATGTTTAACATCTCAGCTTTTGTTTACCTGAAAATTCTGTTACAGCAGGAAAGTATATATGTAATCGAAGTCTGATCCAATATTTTCAAAGAGGACAATTTCCATGCAAATATGAAAAGAAACATGCCAGGTAATTGCAATCGATGAATATTGCGTCCTTAGATGTGAAGAAAGAATTATTTAATCATTTAATCAAATTATCATTTCAAAAGTCGCTTTGAAAATGTTAGGAGAGAATTGTGGTTTGCATTGGTTACTAAACGTCTGAGGAAAAATGTAAATGTCTTAAACCATTTTTTACCCAGATTTTAATCAAAACCCTTGCCGATTACATATCAAAAAGCTTTATTAACACTTTCTTATACCTCATTCCAACTTTATTTTTAAAGAATGTTTGAAAATCAAAACATAATTGTTTGATTGTTAATTGTTCCTGCGTAAACCCTAGATCGTTTTCCTTTCGAGATCAACTAGTAAACATTCTAAGAAAGAGCAGTCCTTTTTCGCGGTTAGTCATTCCGACGACGTTTACGGCCACACCTTCTGCGTCTACGTCGTTGTTTTTGTTGACGGCCGCGGCTGTCGCTGTCCCCTGGATACCGATCTTCCTTTACTGCATCTAATGAACTTTGTTCAATAAAACTAAAAGAAAGTAGAAAAAAAAACAATGATATAAACAAAACGAAACAAAAAAAAAACAAAACGAGGATATGAAATTCTGTTCGAATCCTTCGATAACCAGTTGAGAATATTCACCTTTTGTCAAAACGAGTGAAAGTTATCGACAGCCCTAAAAAGAAGATCGTCTGTAGTTTTCCTATGACGAGGAAATTTATTTTTCAATTGAACTTTGCAGTCGTGCAAGGTTTCTTCAGTCTACACCG